TGGTGAGAAAACTGATAAATGATAAATATTCTTCTAACAGCTAATCCAGATTTGACTTTGGCTACATATAAACTAAATTTTAAAAAGCAAATAATGTCTGCTTGGTTTGAATATTAAATCAGTGTTCATGACCAACATTTACAAAGGAAAGAACCACAAAGAGAAAGATTATGTATGAAGGTATTTGAGGGGGGAAAAACACATGTTATTTAGAGAACAGCTCTTCTATGACATGTTCCCTGGATGATCAGGCCACAGTGACCTCTATACTTATTATACTCTGTTTCTGGCTATGACCACAAAGAGCAACATTTATTATTTTGAAATTACCTTAATATATTATATGCATTATTAGTTGTTGTCTCACCTATCACTAAATATTTCTTAGTTAGAATCTTTTACATAGCTATTATGGGCCAGCTTAAAGTTGCATGTAGTACAATATAGCTCTTTAAAATTTCATGTACCCACTGTGCAATGGTCAAGCCAAGCTAATGGACATAGGTACCACCTCATATTCTTGTCATTATTACATGAGGAAATTTGCCATTTAGCCTCCTAGCAATTTTCAAGTATCTAACACATTGACTCTTGGCACTGTGCTCAATGGCAGATCTCTCTTCATCCACTGATCAACAACTCCCTTCCATTAACCCTACCTTCAGCCCAGCTCCTAACCACTCCCGACAGCCATCAGTGTTGTTTTGTTGTTGTTTGGTTGTTTGGTTAGTTGGTTGTTGTTGTTGTTGTTGTTTGGTTTTTCAAAACAGTGTTTCTCTGTGTAGTTTTGATGCCTGTCCTGGATCTCGCTCTGTAGACCAGGCTGGCCTGGAACTCACAGAGATCCGCCTACCTCTAATCCCTCCAAGTGCTGGGATTAAAGGTGTGCCACCATGACCCAGCATCAGGGTTGTTATTGTTTAATTCCATGTTTCTTAATGATTAAAATCCCTTCCTGATACTGCAACATCAGTTTGTGGAGGATAAGAACCGAGTCATCTTACTTAACTGGTTCCCAGTAGGCTTCAGACCAAATGGCTAGTACTTACACCATGACCCTGAACCAGGCACTGCGGATTCTCACGGGTATTGCAAAGCACATTCTCCTATTAAGGGAGACAAACATATTGCATTGTTTTTCTGCCAATGCAACACCAATTTTCATAAAATCCAATGAACTTAGCAAAATTTGTCTCATAGCTAACAGTGGTATCAAATAACACCAGTACTCACTGCAATTAATAATGAATACAAATGATACTAAGATTTCTAAAAGGCTGCCAGTTGCTAAAAGCAGACCACTGAACTTGATATGTAGCAAAGGAGCACACAGGAGGCAGCAGGCAGCCACATCCTGAGTCACGTTGCGTAAGTCCGAGCCTCGTTCCAGAATGGGAGCTAGGTCCTAGCTTCTTAAACCGTGGTCATGACACATATGGAGTCATGCACAGGAAAAGAGGTCATGAAAAGTTTGGCAACAGTCAAAGGTTTCTAAATGGGTAACCACCCAAACCCAATTCCAAGACCAATGAAGTCACATGCAGAGTGCGTGCCCGTAAGACCGGCACTTGGGAGGTAGAAGGAAGAGGATCAGGGGTTCGAGATGAGCATTGACTACACTATAGGTTTAAATCCAGCCTGGGTTACATGAGACATTTTCTTATCTCTAAAACCCATGTACAAAATGGTGGAGCACACTTATAACCCCAGCACTTGGAAAGTAAAGCCAGCTGGATTCCTGGGGCTTGGCCAGCCAGCCTACACTAATCATTGAGCTCCAAACCTATAGAGATCCTGTCTCAAAAAACAAGGTGAGTGGTGTCTGAGGAGCAGCACTCAAGGGTGACTTCTGGCCTACATAAAATACACACATACCATCACATCTCATCAAATATGTTGTGACCCAAGGTGTTTCTCTCAACACTCAATTGTGTGGCATTGCGTGACTGTACTGCAACTTTGGTTCTGAACACACACACACCAGACCCTTTACACTTCACATACTGAAATGCCACACAGCACCAACAAATGCTGCTTGGAACACCTTGAGAATATTGTGTGTTATGAATTACGATGTGTGAACTGTACAAGGATTTTTACTCTTACGCAAGCATAGAGCCTTATTTTAGAAAATGTCTTCTTAATATTTTCCTAACACCATCCCCCCATGTAAATATCAAATTAATATTCCTTTGGACTACATTGTGGTAGAATGTTCATTTTTTAAGGATTACTGTTTTACTTGTTGATTTGCATTTTGTTTTAAAAATCATTCTATTTTGGCTTAAGATTAGGATAAAAAAATTTTAAGAACATCTGAAATGACCTTAAGTGTATCTCTGCCATTTTGTACTACACATTTGTGTGAAACAGCATTCTCAGTGTTGATGATTACAAAAATCAAAATATTGAGTGAATCTGAGGAATGTGGAAGATGCTGTATGTCCTGCAGTATGGTATATTCAATTCAATTCTTTGTGCAAAAATGAACAAGCACGTTCATCTTCTTAGTATGCAAATTTGCTTTCATCTTTAATAAATGGTAAAATTATATTATAGCAAATAATTGTTCAAAATAATTGTCCCTATAGATTATTATCACTAGATGTTTGATACATGTTTCTATGTTATATTGATATACCTAGGACTGCATAAAATTGCATGGATAAAAGGGGTTTAAATGGGAAAACTTTAAAAAGTCCTAAGATAAGTGACCTTGAATGATTTTTTCCCTTTGGGACTCAGTTTCTTCTCTAATTAACAAAACAAGGACACTAATTGGGGATAGTGATACAATAAATATGATGATATATGGGGAGCACATAGCCATTGATTGCTGACCGCATATCAGTTATGTGAACATTTTTAATGAATCACTTTCCTCTCAACTGACAGTCATTAAAGTCAATGAGCTGTCCATAAATCATACTTACAGAAAATCATCCCTGATGTTGCCGTTAAAGGTGCCACACAGACCTAATGTCCTTCTTTTCCACGCACTGGAGAGTTGAATATAAATTCTTTCTCCATCGATAGCAAACAAGATCTTTAAACCAAATGTGGTTCTTAGAAGAATGAAGAGGGATGACAGAGTCTGAATTTCAACAATGCCTGTAGGAAAAGAGCATATATACAACAGTGTTGTCACATACAGGCAGTGTTCTGAAATGGCAGAGCACAGCACTGGACATCTCCGTCTATGACACCTGGAATTGGGTGGCCAGATGGCAGGTCTGGCCTATGCTCCAGGGCTAAATCTTTCCTTAGTGACTGATTTCTTCCTCTTGTTTCCTTCTCTCTCTCCCCCTTTCCTAGTCTTCAGCATGTATTTCTTATAGACTGTTGTCCACATGTAATTTCCATTGTCAAACATCTTGAATATCTTAGATGTTTGAATTCTAACCATCTTTTTCACAGCAGGTGGTGTGTGTGTGTGTGTGTGTGTGTTATACATATATGTGTGTGTGTGTGTGGTGGGGATGGATAGTATAGCAGAGATGTGGTATGGGGTTATATGGGGGTGTATGGGGTGGAGGTGGGGTGGAGATGTGGTGTGTGACATTTTGTATGTGTATTGTGTGTATGTGTCGTTTGTGTGTGTTGTATGGGGGATGTGGTATGTGTCTATGTATGTATATGATGTAGTGGTGTAGTATAATATGTTATCCAAATGGCCATGATCCATTAGGAAGTAACAATTTCCTCAAAACTTTTCTACAGTTTTGTGAATGCCAACAAAAAAAAAAAAAAATGGAAAGCACAGCTCTTGCTAACCACTATTTTATGAGACACATTTACAGACAAATTCAATGTTCAAAACTAAACTAGTGACTTTGTCACCAAAAGCTCTTCCTTGCTCCTATGTCAATATATTTTTTAAGATTTTAAATTTCTCAGTGTGGTCCCTAAAGCCATAAATCTGAGAAATATTCTTTGATCATGGCATTCTCCTCTTTGCCTCCCTCAAACGTGCCCAACTGAATCCAGCAGTAAGTGCAGGTCACTTGTGTTCTATTGACCCTCATCGATCTGTCTCCTCTCCCACTGCCATGAAACAGCTCCTCCTTAGCTCTGCCATGCCTCACTATATAGTATGCAGCATGTTGTATGTCCAATATCTAACACCTGAAGTTGCTTCCACACTGCTCATAGTCCTCATAGTCAAAAAACAAAGAAAAAGGAAGACAAAAGAAAAAAAAACAAATAAATTACAGCTCCTTAAAAAAATCACTGTTTATTTGGCTAAAGTGTGTGAGATTGCCATTTCATAAACTGGTGAAACGATAACAATTTTATATTCATTTCTATATGATTTTCCTTAGCATGATGCCTGCGTAACATTGACACGTGATTTGGAACACTTCTGAGAGTTTTCACTGTGAGAGAAAAAAATGTTCTTATATCTATGTTGCAATGCAGACATAACAAGGTTCATCTCAGGAAACTACCACATACGAAGCTCTCTCCATACTGTTTGTACCCCACCTGCTTTCCTGACGTCAGATCCAGATAGTCTCTTTGGACCCTGTCCAGGATGTATCAAAGTCAACCCAGTTACATCGTCCCCTAAACAAGCTTCCCACACATGCCTCTCACTTCCCCCCTTGAAGCACCAGCTCACCTCTTTAATCTTAAGAATTGCTCAGCTTCAAATGGTCAGTGATGCATCATCTCCTTCAGAAAACTCGCCTGACCCTGAAAGCCCTTTCCCTGTGTTGGGTGGCCTACTCCTCATTTCAACCCACAAAGTCCTATACAAACCTTGGAGTCTATGTCATCTGATTTTAAGATACTGTTTGCTTATGCAAATTCTAGGCCGCTTGAGAAAAACAATAAATATGGTGGCCTCCAGCATTTTTGGTGGAGTGATACAAGCACCCAGTAAATGATGTGCCGCCAACCAAGAGAAAATGAGCCCTTTGGGTGGCGTTTGCTGTCCACACTAATATACTCACAGCCTTGCTTCTTACCATTCAGCGTGAAGCCTTGGTTGGGACTGGTGAGGATTTGGCCTCCTCTACTGAGTGTCACTTGTTTGTTAAAATCATCCTCCAGAATTAGAGTTATCGACTGAAGGCAGACCAAACCCAGGTTCTGCATAAAAGGCAAAGTATTGGTGAGCAGAGACAGGGAAGGCAGGAGAAGGGAGGGGGAGAGAGGAAACATGGAGAAAGAGTATGTACAAATAAGAATTGCTGGTACATATGGAGGCTTGGATGCCAGTGATAGATATAATGAAGCAACTGATACACAATTCATTTCATGTAACTCCCACCCCTAGCAATATATGGTTTATTATGGTACAACAAATATAATATATATTATATAAAATTTTAATAACCACATTTTCAGTTAAGTACCAGTAATTAGTTTCCATAATACATGGTCCATCACGGAGCTAGTACCACTAACAAACTTGTCAATAAAGACAATTCTATTGTATAACCAAGCAATTTAGGACAACTTATAAAGCTAATTCTGACACTAATAAATTTCAATACAAGAATCAAGGTGGAGCCAGGCATGTGGCTCACAGGTATATTCCCAGCACTCCAGACACTAAGGGAGCAAGAATGCTACAAATTTGAGGCAAGAGCCAATCTCAAAACAAACTATCTGGGGCGGGGGGAGGGAAAGCAAAGAAATTAGTTTATAATATTGGTTGGAAATGGCCTTTTATTGGAATTTATTTATTTATTCATTTTCTCTCATATATTACATCCCAACTACAATTTCCCCTCCTCATCCCTCCACTACCTCTCCTCCCCCTCTGTTTCCTTTCAGAAAAGGGCAAGTTACACATGGCTATCAGCCAGTCATGGCATACCAAGTTACAATAAGACTAGGTACCTCCCCTTGTATTAAGCCTGGATGAGACAGTCCAGTAGGAAGAAAAGGGTCAAAAACACAGACAAAGGAGTCAGAGACAGCCCCTTCTCATACTATTAGAAGCCCCACAAGAAGGCTAAGCTACACAGTTCTAACATATATGCAGAGAGCCTAGGTGAGATCTACACAGGGTCCCTCATTGTCACTTCCAACTCTGTGGGCCCCTCTGAACCCAGGCAGTTGTTTCTGTGGTTTTCTTGTGAGATACCCTTGACCCTCTGGCTCCTACAATCCTTTCTCCCCATCTTCTACAGGATTCCCCAAGCTGATTGATTAAAGATTTTTGAAAATTTTTGAAATTATTTTCTCCTTTTTCAACAAATTATTGATGTGTTTATTTAAACAAAAGATCCAACATCAATATTATAATAAGTCAAAGAATTATATATTGTGTAATTATACATTATGTATCCCTTTAGAATGATATGAAACCTACTGGATCCTATATAAAAAAAAAAACCCTGTTATGCAGATGGTTTGGGAATAAATTAAGGCTTAGTCCTATAGGAAAATTATGGATTAAGTTTTTTAAAAAAACAACATATGAAAATAACTTTTAGTTATTTGTGTTTTCAAATGTAAATATATCTAAAATCAAAGCTCATCACATCATCAATGTATGTCATGACTGACGGTGAGCATCATTCATTCTTGTCTGATATATTAAGAATAATGGCCTCTTAATAATCAGTACATTAAGAATAATGGTCTGTTTTTATTATCGATGCTGTCATTGAATCAGGATGTGAAGTTGAACTTTGAAGTGTGATTGTTCTCCTGCTTCCTGTTAGGAGTGTTGCTTACCTGTTCACAGTGAGCTTTCTGTAAGGTAATTGTGAATTTATCTTTTCCAGTTCCTTTCACGAGGATGTACTGGCACAAGCCAATAAAAGAATAATGGCGCCCATCAAAGGTGGTAAAATGAGAATCACCCACAACAGAGCACTGGACTATCAAAAATAAATGAAGAAGGAGAAGTCAGAGAAGGAGGGAGGGAAAACTGTGTTAATTCCTGAACAAGAGGATGACTTAGGGTAGATAAGCACACCTCAAAAGAAAATCTAAAGTGTTCATTTAGATTTACTGATCTGACGTATCAAGTTATTAAATTTCATTTAAAAAATTATTAAATGATAACTTTTCCATGTAGTTTTAGGCATTATATTTACCCATTTTAACAAAAATCTTACCAAAGTTGCCTACTCAATGGTATCATGTATTCAATTTCCAAATTACCCTCTATTTGTAAATTATACATTATTATACTCTTTGATGTATATATGAGATACATTCACAAAAAAGTGTTATTTTTCCTTCCAATTTGAAAAATATTTTCAAGATTTTAAGGGTTTTTTTTCCCAACATTTGAAAAGATTACCTGGACAGTCATGCTCAGTGCAGTTCCAAACTCCACCAACACAAACACTAAATAAAATTATAAAGATATTAGCCTGACACAGAAATTATGCTGACATTTGCTTCAATATATTATTAATATACAAAATATAATAGGTTCTCTATTATCTGACTAGAAAAAAAATTCTCTAAAAAAGTTGGACTAATAGTTACGAACTGGATGGCTCATAAATGACTATCCACTATATATCTATTTAATGTCACGAGACATTAATAAGAGGAAAGACATGTCTTCTTGTGTAAGACACAGGCTTCTTCCCACCTTGACAAAAAGAGGAGTTTCTGAGGAAAGAAAGGGTCTCTGATGATGTCAACATCTGAGAACATGTCTTTTGGGTATGCTGTCAGCAAAGAGAAAGGGGCCAAGGTCATGCCACCTTCAGTTTTTACTTGGGATTGTCCTAGAGGAATTTCATGCTTACCCAGAGCCTGAGCTAGTTTAGTAAGGAATTGTAAATCTTACTGATCATGACCAAAAATTGGCAATAGTCAGTCACTTTATAAAGTATGCATTACAGAAACCCAGGGATGCCATCTAGTTCTAAGAGTAAAAGTATGTGTTAATTAATGATTAGGAATAACAAAATGGGACAGGTAGCATATGGGCATAGGATTTTATAAAATTACCAAGGGAAATGATAAGAATACAAACACAAAAAGACAATGAACCTGTACAGTTCAAATAAAATACAAACTGTATCTCAGAATTTGCAGGTGAAGATAAGCAATGGGTAGATTCTTCAAAATACCTGTCATGACCAAGTTGTCAATGAGACCGGTACCCAGAAATTATTCTCTACCCATTGACCACTTACCATTCAGTGCACTCTTGCTCAATTTTTGAACCAACTGAATAAGCTAACCCATGGAAACTACATGGGCAACTTTCCAAGGAGATGCAGGTCCCATTGTCCATTATGAGGCCTGTTTAAGGAAAATGTATATCACAATCTCAAAAGAAATAGTAAGGGTTACATTCTTTGAATATATAACAATTCAATCAGATGTTGAGACCTTGCTTATGGTAGGTGCTAGAAACAAAAACTCCTTGACTGTCAGGGAGGATTCTAGCAGCCTGGTCCTCAGTCAGTATCTACCTTATAAAGGTTTACTTCAATGATTTTCAACTTTGATATCCTGTAACTTACCATCAAAATCTCAAAGCCCATGAAGGGAGAAGAAAGGAAACTGAAAAGCACTTCCTTGAATTTAAGGGAAGAGAAATAAAGAAGGGAGAAGGTATATCCTTAGTTTATGTTCTTTTCAGTCCAAGATAAAAGAGATTTACACTATTGCCCTGCACACGCTGAAGAACAGTGCAGCTCAATGGTCCAGCGCAGTGCATTTGTTACAACTTTGTGAAGGTAAATGAGGATGGAGCAGATTTTAAATCAGCATTTTCATCCAACGGCCTCTTCCATAGCCAGTTTCTACAGGAAAAAGAATTGGCCTACTGTAGCATGTGGATTTCTGCCCTGAAGTCACATCCTTATCCAGTGATTCACTGTAAGCAAACACCTCAAGACTGCCACTGGTTCAGTGCACTGGCGAGTCAGAAAAGGGCCTGGGAAGAACACTTAGGACCTTTAATTTTGTTCCTTTTGAGACCTGGAGATTGACCAAGGTCTTTTGTATACTGGGGAAGTACTTTAGCACTAGACTGCATGCCTGGTCTTCTTTTCCTAGTTTGTACTTTTTTAAGGGTGGGGAAAACATTGGGCTGAGAATATGACTCAGTAGGTAAAGTGTTGGCTATGCATGCATAGGGCTTGAGTCTGGATCTGCAGCCAGGCCTAGTGATGAGCTCAGGCAATCCCAGCACTGGGTTATTGAACAGATGGATTCCAGAACTTGGTAGTCAGTCAGTCTAACCAAAATGGTAAGCTCAGTGACTCAGAGAGAGACCCCCATCTCCAAAAACCAGGTGAAGAGTAATAAAGAAGTACACATAATATCTGTCTCCACATGCAGATGCACACATGCACAATTATTACACATGTGTATGTTCAAAGAAATAGAGAGAGTGGAAGTTCTGAAAAAAATCTTCAGCCTTCTTTATAAATGTCTATTCATACGATAACTTTAAACCTCACTTCCATCATTTGTTGTCATTTTCATTTCAAACATTAAAACCACACTAGGACTAAAATCTTTATATTGGAAAAATGTGAAGGCTCTGTCCTAGTCTCACTTTCATAGTCCAGGAAATAAACATGTGTAAAGTACTATTACATAGTGAAAGAATACGTTTGTCACCTTGGGAATTAAAAATAATGGATTCCAAGTTTCTGAATTTTTTACAAAATAAAAAATATCCCTTTTATTGAAGAAAAGCAAGCATTCCTCTCAGTCAGTTCAAGGACTGAGAGTGCTACAAGAGTGTGAAGTTCGAACAACATGAGGGACTGTATTAAAGGTTCGCAGCATTAGGAAGGTTGAGAACCACTGCTCTAGCTGTATCCCATAAACCCTACCTCTTTATCTGGATGCAAAAACCCTGCCTCCTAGTTCAGCTGTATACAATATCCCTGCCTCCCTGTTCAACGCTATCAAAAACACTCTGAGCTTTAAAAAAAAAAGGGGGTGGGGGGTATGAAGTTGCCATAGCTCTGATGTCTAGGAAACGGACAGCAAGGCCAAGATGTGGTCTTCATATAACCGCGTGCCACTTGAGATGAGAGCAGGCTTGGCTTCTTTGTGAGGTGCTTACCGTCAGCGCAATAGCATCCATCAAGGCAGTGAAGATCGCTCCCGAAACACTGCTTCTCAAACGTGCAGCTCGGAGGACAACAACTGATACAATCCCGGTGAACAAAGCTGTCGTCACATTTATCCGCTGCAAAGGGAGACAGTAAGCTACGAGTCAAGTTTATCCTCTTTCCAAAAAAACAGTGTTTAGGACATGGGTAAATTTACAAACATGTCAGCAATTTTGAAAAGTTTTGCAATGCATTAGTTTTGAGAAGTTGGGTAAACTGCATCCTAAGATAAGATTGAAACTTTTTGTAAACTACATGGTTTGAGAACTACAAACATACTGCATGCTGGGAAGTCATCCCTCCAGTCTTGAATGGGGAAGCCCGCGTGCGAACAGGCTCTAGCGTACTCAGTGGCTGCTCGACAATAAGTTTCATCATCATCAGTTCTAAAAAGAAAAAGAAAAAAAAAAGTGAGCCAGGGTCACTTGGCAATTGAGACAGAATTCTACCTTAGACCTCCGGAGTCTTAAAGGCAATGAGGCTTTGGTGAATACATTAACGTTAGTGAACGTCAGATTGCATATCTTCCGTGACATACTTCACACAGACAAAAAACATCGAAAACACACACACATACAAAAGATCCTAGATGAATGCACCCACCTAAATTTAGTGCAATATATAGCAACACCTTTATCAAAGCCTTTCAATAAACTGAACACTCTTCCTATGGGTCAAGTAAAAACTAGAATGAAAAATATTTATATTTAAAATTTTAAAATCTTCATATGTGTTTTTACATCTACACAAAGTTATTACAGGCATTTTAGAATTTAATAATCACTAAATTCAGATAAAAACTTAAATGAAATTAAAGCAGATAAAATTATATTTCTACAAACGTAGCAAGGAGGAACATTTTTTTTCAAACACCTCATTTTGAATTGCACAATAGTCCGTGGCCCTCCAAAGGATTACACTCACACTGTAGCAGTCCTTGCCATAACAGTCCAAAATATTTTTGAAAGATTTAATAAATAACATTTAACTTGAGATTTAAAGGGAGATTTTTGAGCCCTTTCACTGGAGCTCGACATTTTTACAACATTGCCACAAGTAAATTATCTCTAATTATTTTTCTTGCAATCACTTTAGAAAGCTCTCTAAACAATAATTTCTTATGGGATCTGCCAGTTCCCAAAGCAGATTAACAAGGCGCTTTCAAAATAAACAGGTTTCTAACAAGGTAGCGAGCTTGGTTTTCAACCCAATCCATATTCAAAATTGGATAGTTAAGCATCTTAAAAGATAATAACCTTAAGAACATTCCATTTTGTGACTCTTAACATTTTCAGTCTTTGTTATAAAAGCCACCTTCTCAAATTGCCCTTATTCTGTGCTACTGTAATTGGAGCCAAGTAGCTTATCTAGTCCAATTAACTGAGCTTTAGAAAGCAAAAGAGAAACCTGTCCACATAACTTCAGGAGCTTAGAAAGTCCTAAAAGTACAGAAAGAAAAGTCGTTCTGAAAAGAAGTGTATGTCAAAAACCATTGAGTTTCTGGAAGAGATTTACCTTAAAAGGTGTGTTTTCTTCAATTAATAGTAATTTTGAAAGTTAACAAGAAAGTGGTTTGGGGCTTCCCAAACAATGCAACAAATATTAAAATATGGCACCTGATGAAACACATCAAATTGGGAAGAAGGAATTTATTATCCTAACTGACTGAGAGGAAATGAGCTGATTTTCCATTTGGATGTTAACTCTAATGAGAAAAACAAGCATTAAATAATAGTTGTTTCTAATTCAATGGACTCTGACATGCCAAAAAATTAAAAAATCGTTTCTTTGCTGCCAAGGTTTTAGAAGCAAAACCCGGAAGGCATAATTACAAGGATTGTATTGTTCCCATCCAAATGCTCCATCTTCCATGGAGCCTTGTATGCGGTTCTTGATCCCTTGTGTCCATCACAAGCAAGAATCAAACATGGCTGGGAACCTGCTTCTCTACCCTATGTGAATTGAATTTTTCAGGGCAGAGACTATGTGGACATGGTTTCTATGTTTCCATGTGTGTCCCATTGCTTAGCTATGAAGCACAAGAGATGGGTGCTTCATTTTCAATTTCAACAAGTCATCACAATATAAGCAAGAAATGAATGTGTGTCCAACCAATTCGCCTTTTCATTGAGCAGGATCCTTCGGAATCAGTTCCATAGCACAGGAAAATAAAGGAATTATTCATTTTCTAATGAAGAAAAGGACAGAAGAACAGTGCAAAGGTGTGCCTTGAAAGAAATACCAGGAGAAGTGGAAACGTACTGTGGGAGTTTCCCACTTCCGTTTTGGCAATGTCCTCTAAACTCAACCACAATGCCCTTCTTCCCATATGATCTGCTGTTCTTCCCCAGCTCAGGCTTTCTATTTCAGACACCTGCCTTAAGGGTCGGTTAATTTAAACTGCTAAAAAGTAGTTCTCTACCTGACTATTCTGCTCCATTTGTCCTGGAGAAGGCAAAAATCACAGATTCAAGACAAATAAAGTAAAAAAGTGATTTTTCTCACTGAAAGTTTATATGACATGGATATAGGCGAGCAATGCTTTTATCTCTAATTCCCCCTTCTTTTCATTATTAGAACCTTGCATATTTCCTGGATGTGTGGATACTCAGCAAGAGGCATCACTAGCCTTCTGTGCATCTAGGTATAGCCATGTTTCTACAGTGGTCTGGTCCAAAAGGCTAAGAATGAGGACTGTATATGAATCTTCCAGGTCAAAAATACTATCCCTTTGTTTCCTTTCTCCTATTCTGACAGCTAACATAAAGACATAAGAGGAGCCAATTTGGGCCTTGAAATTGAGAATAGTAACAAGGACATCATGTATCAACAAGACTGCAAAGTCACTGTGAAGTTTATGGAATAGAGCCACAATGTTAATCCAAGAGCAATTACTGGCTTGAACTTTTAAATGAGAGATGTATAAACATTCTATTTCAGTTTATCCACTATTACTATGGCTATTGAAGCAGCCAAATTAATGAGTAGAGAGTGACTTTCTTGAATATATCAAATGATGCTCTATCTCAGATTATGAAAAAAAATGGGTATTAAAGAAATGGGTATTTGAAACAATGGGACACAAACCACTGTGGAGAAAGAATAATTTTTAATTCTGTATAAGTGGGGAAATAAGGAAAAAGCTTACCTTTGTGGATCTTGAATGGAAAAAGGTCAGTTTGAGTAAAAGAACAAAGGCATGACAATTAGTGCTTACTTTTTAAAAAGAGAGGGAAGAATTCTTTTTCAAAAATGCATAGTAAGGTCACTGGCCATCAGTGGAGAGGAGAAGATAATTGAGAGCTTTGTTCTTGTTTAGGAACCCCTAGATTTTGAGATCATCTACCCAAGTCAAGGCATGACTACACTCTATTCAAAGCCAAGCCATAAAGCAAATCAGGCTATTTTATTATTTAGAAAAGACCAGTACATTCAATATACTGTTATAATACACAATAATCTAAAGAAGAGTATCTACAAGTAACATAATTTCAATACTATTTCTACTTTTTTTTTGTATTACCTTTGATAACAGGAGAGATCTTAACAAGCTACCAAAAAAATAAAATGGCTTTACTTGACCAAAACCTAGTCAGCTGTTCTATAAAAATATTCAAATATACTATTTATATTTCTTGGGACTCATTAAATATTCAGATATACAAAATCCCTGAAGT